GATTTAGGGATAATTATGTGCCAAAGCTCAAAAATCAGAATACCTTCTATGCTAATGTCATTTCTCCTCCTAGCAAAATGAATGTTAAGCACTTGGGTCATCTGCTAAATTAGAATGATGGTTTTTAAATTCAGTTAAAACATGTATTCAAAACTTTTTCCCAACAGCATTTATTCTTGTTTTCCCTTGCTTTAAACAGGACACAGACACCTTCGAGTAACATTTTCCTTTCTTTGGAAAAAATAATCGCTCTAAAATTTCTCATCCATTAAAAAGACAGATAACGGAGTTGAATTAACTTATAATGCATATTTCTTCTTTATTTTACTGATCTTCTGAACTTTGTTTCTTAGGCCTCATTCATCTATGTTGCAAGAGAAGCAAGAAAATAGCAGAAATATGCAGAATTTATTTCTTCATGGTCTTAATTTTCTTTGAAAAGTCTCTCAAACACCTTCAGTAGGAGATAGAATCATCCAGTGCTGAGAACTGAGCACGGGGATTTTCAACATCTTCATTTTAATCTGAGCACTAGGAGTAGCTTTAACAGTGCTTTTCAGGATATCAATTGCCATACAACAATTTGTCATTTTACCCAGTGCCCGGATGGAGCAGGGTGCTGGAGGAGAGCAGAGTTTGGAATAGTCTTATCCTGAAAATCCTAGGCTTTTAATAAGTGAGGGCAGAGGCTACTTTCAAACAGCACGTCAGTTTTCCTAAGAACACTTGAACAACCCTCCTGCATCAGACCCAAAGTCCCTTTAGCTCTCCATCACCTACCTGGCAACATTTCATAGCAGAGTTCTTGATGAACAAAGAACAAAACCAGGGCAATGCCTTCCCCTTACACCTCTCTGTCTTCCAGAGAGCTAAGGCAGAGCTCAAATCTCTGACTTGGATAGCCTCTGATGGATTTTTCTTCCATTACTTTGTGTAATTATCTTTAGAGCTCCGGTAGTCTTTTGTGTACTGGGTATTGAGGCAACACAATTCAAAATTTATTTAGGCATTGCATGAAAAATCACATCTTTTTATTGACTTCAACTTTGCTGCTTGATAATTTCATTTGATAACCCCCCTTCTTGGACTGTGAGAAACAGTAAGTAATTGTTCCTTATTCACGTTCTTAGCATCACTTAGAATTTCATCTACCTATTATGAGATTCTCCCTGCAACTCTTCCTTTTTAGGCAGAAAACTCATATCATGCATAAACTTTATGTATTCAACTCTCCTTCAAGTGTGACCCTTTTGATATCTGCTGTTTATGTTAGCATGTGACACTAACAGTCTGTGTTACACATGTGGTTATTGGGAAGTGGCAACAGAATCTGATTTTAATAGACATGAGAAATCATGTAAGATTAAATTTTTTCCCCTAAATTTTCAAGAATAAAATATACAAAATACAAAAATGTTCTTTTTCATGTAATTGTACACTGTTTTTTCAAGTTGACATTTTTATGAAGTTACATCATAAACGCATGAAAAGGCATCACCATGGGGAACTCAGTAAGCTATGTACTGAATGACTCAGGTTAACTGAGTCTCTCTTCCTTTGCTTTTTCTGTGTATTAAAATGCTAACTAAAAAATATCTTGGGGTAGTAGTACCTCAAGGGCAACATTAGTTGTTGGTGTGGTGGAGTTCTCCCGTCCCGTAGAAGTGCTCATGCAGCATGCTAAGAAGATGAGATTTGTTCATGCTAAGCACTACTTTTTCACAAGCTGACTGCAAGGTTTCCACAGTCGGTTAAGAAGGAAAAACCTGAGTGTGTAATCCTAGATAACTGTGGTGTCATCTTGCACTTCCTTCATAATTAAGTGTGGCTATATGCTGAAGGAATGCTTATTTGAGCAGAGGAAACAGGGACCACGCAATAGCCTCACAAAAACAGAGACTGTCAAGCAGCTAAGTAGTTTGTGAAAAAAACCCTGCCCATGAAATCCTTATTCCTCATCACACTGTCCTGCAGTCTGCATTCAACGTTTATTGTTGTAGGTGAGAAAATACCAGAGTCTTCTTTTAAATGCAATTTGAAAACCACAGAGCTCAGCCTTGCCCGGGCAGCCTGGCGCGGCGCTGGAGGCGGTGGGGAGGTGTCCTGAGCCCTCTCCGGGCAGCGCTGGGCTTTCGGCGGCCGGGGAGGAAGGGATGGAGGGAGAGGGCAGGCGTTTGGCTGGAGCAGCAGAGCTGGCCACCTTCAAAAGGGGTGCTGGGGGAGCTCAGCCCTCCACTTCCAGCATCACGCCTGTGACTTACGCGCAGTGAGGAGCACGAGTCATTACAAGACGGGTGTAGTTTTTGGGTTAGTCTAAACTCTCACCTCAGTCTAAATGCCTCTGGAGCTCTGTTCCTGTTCTCCAACTGGGTAGCAGATTGTGAAAGTTTGCATTAGACAGGCATAATAAATGCCAACTGCTAAAATGAGTAGTTCTTGTAAGGCCTTGGACTCCAAAGCATTTGTTTTATCACTAAAAGAGAGGCAAATGTGTGAGATTAATCACTGATTGTGCAAAACTGACAGCCAGCTTCCTTGGTGTATGGGTACAGTCGTACACTGAGTAATTCTGTGTGAAGGAAAAGATGAACCGCAGTGTATTTTCACTTCAGTACGTCAGACTGTGTAGTAACATACTAAATATATATGTTCATAGTCCAGCAAGCACAAGTTAAAATGCCTTAGTATAAACTACAAGTTGAAAGCAGAAATGGACTTAATAATCTCGCAGTGGGTGCTGGTATCACACAAAGAGCTGTAGAAGTCACTGCTATTTGCATTGGTGATCAAGGGGACAGCCAGTACTCAACCTTGACAAACAATAGAAACTCATCAGCGACACTGAAGGACTGAGATGTGCATTCGGACGAGGCTATTTCAGATAATGAAATTCAATATATGCCAAGTGAACTACTTAAAGTCACCCTGTGTACCGAGCCCTGCATATTCATTCTCCTTCTTCTTTCAGTTACCCCTGTTGATATGTACTAATATTTGCACTGGATCTATTGTGCTGAAATGGTTGTTGTAGGAAAGGTGTATTGTATCCAAAGGGAAATTCAACTAGGAGACCAGCACATCTGGACTGCCAAGTAGAAAAACAATTTATAGCAAGTGCTGTACTGGAATGTTCTCACTGGAGTTGATGTGGCTAACAGAAACAAAATCAATATATGACTCAGTTCTCCACAGGGAATTTCTAAAGTCTGGAAAAAACATTGCATTTTCCCTTGTTTCATTAACGGGGATGGGAGGGATTAAAAGTCTTGTGAGTATGGATGGTTTAGGAAGAGGAGGGCATATTGGGTGGTAATTTGAGATCTGTTTCAGGTTCCTGCTGTGATTCAACAAATGATTTAAGAGATTCAGAATTAAATACTGGTCAAATAGGTCTTTTAGTCCACATGTCCCAAATAATTACCTTTCCTTCTGGGTCAGTCTTTTCTCTTTGAAATGTAGCTAATGATACATCTCACTGGATTGTTACAATCCTGTAAACGACAGTAAATCAGGCTGAACTTTTCAGATAGGAGACATCAAGGAATGTAGTACTGTTGTTACGGCTATTGTTATTATTGTTACTATTGCCTGTTGCAGATTATGCTGTCAGTAGCGCTGGGAATGTGACAATTCAGTCTAAATAAATCCAATGAAAGCCTCATTCTTTACAACAGTGTCTTAGAATTGCATCAGTGAGCAAGATATTGTAGTGGCAACTTGTGGGGGACCATCCTGAAAGGAAAAGTCCTCCTGCTAACTATACAGTAGAAGAAAAAAATACCAACTCAGTAACAGATCTGTGCAGCCACTGTATACATTCATCAGAGATAATGGCATCTGGCAGCAAAGCCTTAGATCTTTGTTTTGCCAGTCTTTTTTTCCCCTTTGCCCAAATACTACTTAAAAAAAAAAAAAAAAAGGCATATATTCTTGAAAGCAAAAGGAACTGGTTTTCTGAAAGGGACCCAAAGAGATTCTGATATAATCAAATATTTTTAGGCATGCCCAGCCTTACAGATAAGTTCCTCTCTCCTTGGGCTGAATCTCATTGGTTGAGAGATCCTTTCACATGCACTTTAAAACTCTGCTGACATAAGCATTGTCAGAATAACAGTAGCTAAGCAGAGTGCCAGGCGTATTCAGGTAACTGGCTGGGACAGCCAATATTGAGTAAAATATTAATGTTCCTGTTTGAAGCTTTTCCAGAGGATTTCTAGAGGAGGTTATGAAAAGGGTTGGATAGACTGTCCTCTTTCACTAGAAATAAAGAAAAGGTTTCTCGACTACATTACTTCCTCAAGGAGATCTGTTCATTGTGAAGATTCTCTTGTGGTATAACTACATAGAAAACAGCTATGTTTGTACATTCAGGATAATTTTATTCAAATATAGCCTAATTTTGAGGCCAAGGGATTATAATTATTTGACAGAGGAATCAAGGAGATTGTAAAATGCACATATTTTTTTACATCTCAAGCACCTATCCATACATAAGGGTGTGTTTTTCGTTTCAAGCTCTTTGGGAGAAAGGACCTTTTAAAAGGTAGTGCTCTTTTGTGTTTGGAGCATTTTCGTTTCTTCACCTCAAACCACATGTACAACATTGTTGTTTTTGTGAGCAAAAAGGTACTGAAAGAGCTGTGAGCAAGGGTGATCAGAGAGCCATACAGCAAAGAAATGGGATCTCTTGATCTAAGCATGCTGGATTCTGTTACATGATCCCTTTGATGCCAAAGGTTGAATTCCCACTGGATTAGTCAGACAGCAATGGATTTCACTTTGTGTAGGACAGGATGAGATTTCCAGTCGAGCCAATAAGTATTGCTTTGGTGTGCCTCACCTTGCAGCCTTTCGACAGTTAAGCAAAGCTGCACTGCATGGAGGAAATGGGGCTGTCTAAACTGATACCTTTCTTTTTCTTTCCCAGATTACCTGATCCTTGGACAAAGGGGAGAAAGCAGCATTTGACACTTTTCTTTTTCTTTTTTTTTTTTTTCCAGATACAGAAGAATAAAAATATATTAAAAAAGAGACTGCAAATTTCTTTCATCATTTTAGCTGAGCTTCTTCATTCCTGTTCTCCTCCTCCTTCCGCAAAGACCAGTTTCTGGGGAAGGCGTTAAACAACTTTCAAAAAGCTCCTCCTCCCACTGGCTACTTCACAGTTAATGACTCTGGGTTCTAGGGTGGGGGCCTTGTTTTTTTGGGTCGGTTTTATTTTTGTTTGTTTGTTCGTATACGTGTGCATTTTTTGTTGTTTTGGGAAATTTTCTGTTAAAAAAACCAAATGGCAATTTGCTCATGCAAATGGTTCCATTTTTTTGGGGCAGGTCAAGCAAATAGATGAGAGTCATCTTCAAAAGCCAGTATTGCCCTTTGCTATGCCTCAGCTTGTGAAACCAACATTAGGATGATACAAAAGAATATATAAACAAACAAACCAAACAAAAAAGACAACAAAAAAGAAAACATGATAATGCTTCAGTTCTACTCTTTTTATTTTCCCTGAGAGACTTTTCCAATTGCTGGTAGACAGAATTTGACATCAGTTTTACCCTTGCTGTAGATTTTGTTAGTAAGAATGGTGAATTTGTAGTCATTTGACAATTTGTTAGGATTTGATGTCTTCACCAGATGATGCAATGATAGCAAAATGTTGTTGTTTCTAAACAGCAGGCAGACTCACTCAACCCTTGATTTTGTTCTGTTTTTGCAGTTAGTAGTAGGAAAGGAATAATCGATGAAAGCGATATTCCCATGGGGCAAATTTTGTTGTCAGACTCTGAGAGCATGTACTAATGTACTGCTTGACGTGCCTGCCTTGAGATTACAGATAATGTGCTGTTTCCCACATTTCTTCATGGGCTACTAGTAACCACTCTTTGTCTGAGCTAAGAGAAGTAGGGCAGCAGGGAACCACATGGATCAATTATTACTTTCATCTCTGTATGGTCTTTCTTTCATCACTGACTGAATGGACAGGCCAAAGAAAAGGAAAAGTGTTGCTGGAGAAATATGGACAGACAAAACCAAAATGAAAAAGTGTGTCCCAAATACACCGCTGGAGTCAGTGGGTAAAACTGTCTCATCCAGTTGAGTTAGACACACGGAAAGTAGCCATGATTCTGGGTCATTTTAAAGAAGAAATGTTAAAAACCTAACTCGCTCAGGCTTTGATTCAGGAAGGCATCTTTATATGAGAAGCATCAAACATGTATGTAAGTGCTTTTCTGGCTTGGGGTCTTGATATAGGGATCTAGTTAATTGTAAGTAATGTTACCTGTCTATGTGGAAATCAAGACACATGCGTACACAAACAACTGTTTTTTTTTTTTTTTACTAACTCTTTTTTGTTCAGGCTGAAGTCTTGCTATGTTAGTTGTATATGTATTCTACATGGAATCAGACTGCTGTCATGGCTTATTGCTATGTAGAGAACATGCAAAACACTTGCTTAGGAAGATAAATCTTTGGTGTTTTCTTTTCATGTTAAAAAGCACAGGACTTTACCACCAGCCAATATTAGCGCTTGGGTCTCTGTTCCTGCTTATACTGTGCATGTACAGGGACGAGCTTCCTGTGACACTAGCAGAAATCACAGCAATGAGCTCAGCCTAAATCAACATTTAAACGTGAATACCTTCTCACTCAGGAGTGTTTGTATCTGGGATTTTGATTATTGAGGCTAGAGACTTTTTGAGTTCTTTTTTTTGGACACCAGAGTTTGAGTTTGTTCAAAGCTAGAGATTTAGATTAGGTTCGTGCTGTGAAAAGGTTGCACTTCAATCACATGTTTTCAGAAGAAAGAAGTACAAAAATAACTCTTGCAGTTCTTAGAACTCACAGTTGGCTTCATTGAAGCAACTCATTTATATAAAACAAATACAAGGGCACGTAGCGTTCCCGTTCGTGAGCTCTTGGTTCAGTGGTAGCTCTGGGGTAGATTTGCGGAGGAAAGCAGGGTGCTGGGGGGACAGTGGCCCCGCAGTCAGCGCCGAGCACACTCCGTGTTGTGTGACGGGCAGGGGGCTGTGTCACCACGTAGCACTCCCCCACCTCTCCTTCCCCCCCGCCATCAGCATTCAGCCCCGGTAAGAGTGGTAGAATATGACTTCCAGCCCTGACCAAGCTCTTTGAAAGCACATTGGTGAAAATATCAATAATGCAGAGCTGAATACCACAGCGGTGATTCAGTCCCTGCTTAGTCAGACTTCTCACTGAGTGTTTGGTCAGAGGTACAGGATGGTTTAGTCAATATTTTTTAAGTTAACCTTACATAATGTACAGTGACTAATGATGCCTTAGATTATGCACAGCAGAATAATAATAATAATAATAATTTTAAAAACCTGAATCTTCATCTGTTTCTGATAATATATTTTCTTTCTTTCTGGGAGTGACTTCTTTCAGACAGCAAAGCCAGACGTCTTAATTCATGGCTGGTCAGTTCTTGTTTCTCATGCACTGGCACAAAGGTGTGAAATCAGACTGCAAAATGTTTTTCCTCAATGATGGGGTTATTCACCACTGGCAGGAGCTAATAAGTGAAGTGGTGGATTTGCCATCTCTTGGGGACTGCAGAGCAGAGCGGCCATTCTAGAAGAGGTGCCACAGTCAGTTACTGATTTCAGCACACAGGTATGCAGCAAAATGTTTTGCAATATACAGGCAGTCAGAGCTAGCTCTAACGTTCTCCTGCCCATTTAAAATCATTTGAATAAGCTACAGTGGAATATTAGCATTGTTTAGAATTTTTTGTTGTCATGTAAAAAAATCCCCATGAAATCTATTAGCTTGAAAATACATAAAGTAAAAGTGAAATCTAGAAATTGAAATCCTACAAAGAGACTAGGCTAGATGAAAGGATCTATCATGGGGTCCCTTCCCAGCATCACACTTACATTCCCCTACTCTGCTCCCCCACTTCCCTAGAACACTCTGCAGCATTGTGCTAGTGCATTGTGAGCCAAGGAATGGTATGTTTATACACCTCCCAGTTAAACTAGAGATCAGCCACTGTGCAATTGTGTAAAAAAATAATAAAAATGTAAAAAAAAAAAAAAATTACAGAACTGCTTTCTCTTATTTTATTCCACAAAAGGAAACAAAAAAAAAAAAAAAGAGTGGAAAAGGATTAGATGTTCATCAGCTGATGGCCTATGTTTATAAAGAGTGAGAAAGGATTTCTGTTTTTACATCCTTGCCTAACTTTCCCCAGATACATAGGAATTATGTTTTCAGATTACTGCCTTTTCCATTCTCAGTAAGACTATATAGAGCAATGAATGAGCCAGAAATTCTGGAAATATAGGGCTCATACCATTGACTTCATGCTGAAATTCTATAGAATTATTTGGGAGTGCCCACCAGTAGGCACAAAGGGGTCTTCTGGTGCCAGAGTGCTTCTTACGGAGGGCGGCACATGCTGGGAAGCTCTGTGATAAAGACATCACTCTTCTGCCTCTGTGCAGGGGCTGCTGCTGCTCTCAGAAAGCTCTGCCGTGCTGGAAGAGCACCACCAGGCACCTTCTGCTTCCCAGAAACTCTTGTGTAATTTGAGAGGGAGAATCCTGGCACTTTACCCGCTTAAAATAGAGAGCGGTACCATTGCAAGTATCCCTATCAGTGTTTTTTCCTTTAGTTGGGGCTGGTGTTCAGAGAATTAGCAGACCTTTGGCTCATGATGACGTGGTGCTTGAACTCCAGGACACACTATAATTAAAAAAACAAAAAAACAAACAAACAAACAAAACCCACAAGCTATATATTTTTATAGAATCATAGAATCACAGAATGGCTTGGGCTGGAAGGGACCTTTAAAGTTCATCTAGACCAACCCCCCTGCAACAGGCAGGGACTTCTTCAACTAGATGAGCTTGCTCAGAGAGCCATCCAACCTGGCCTTGAATGTTTCCAGGGATGGGACACCTACCACCTCTTTGGGCAGCCTGTGCCAGTGTTTCACCACCATCATTGTATCCTGTTCATTATTTAAATGTCTCGAAGGGTGACAGTTCTCTGGGCTGCACTCAGTCAGTGATTTGAACCTTGCGTTTCTGTGACAACATGCGAGAAGTGTTCACACATGTAAAAGAAAGGATTTGTATACTTCTAAATTACTTTTTTTAATGTACAAACATGTGATACAGTCTCTTAAATGCTTAAGTCAACCAGCTTCCCTTACAAATTACATAATATTTTTTTTCCAAAGTTATATGGTCAGAATTCTATGTTTAATTATAAAAAGATGATGAATGTCACTAATGTTTTCCCTGTTTGACAAAAAAGTTGCTAGAAACCAACTTTTATTTATGCTGCTGATAATATAGGTGGTAGATTAAAAAAAGAAATTTTGAAATTTTAGACTTAAAAGGTATTTCGGAGCAGTTAATCTAGGCAGACTGAAGCTTATGTAAAAGTGCAGCCTTTTGTATAGCTCCAGCTGGTATGAACACATTATGTATTAATACAGTAGGACATTTAGGATCAGAATGAATCTGGAATTTGGGAGCCTGGTTCCCTATAGATGAATGAAAGAGGCAAATTAATTTTTTTTGATGTTTCTTTTTTCAAGCATACATTTTGTGCTTGGAGAGAAACTTTCCAAAATGTAGTTGGTTATGCCAGAGAGGAATGGTATATGGTGGTGTTTTTGCAGACTACACTTTGAATATGCCAATGTTTGCATCTGAATTTAACAAACTCAGTCTCGATGCAAAAATTTTTCAAACTGATAGTGCTGTGCTGCTTTGTAATCAGAAGGTCCGTGAGCTCACCTAGCTAAAGGCAAATACTTCTGCTGTTAGTTCTTGCAAATTCTGCAGTGGGTCCCAAAAGTGGCTTTTAATTAAAAAGCACAATAATCTACTCAAATTAGAAATTATAGAATCTGACAAGGACAGTACTTTTTTTTTGCTTCAACTGGATAAACTAATTCTTCTCTAGGAACTCATGAGATAGTCCTAAATATTTCTTATTAACGCCTTTTTCCTCTTATAATAATGAAACTCATCATCCTCTGATGATCTATGCCATATGTTAGCTATTTGTACTCAGCAAATGACAGCATAATCAAGTCCTTCTATCTTACTCTTTTTTAATCCATCACCTCACCCAATAATTAAAAGCAACAGAGCGATCCTGTGCTTTCACATGTGTTGAACTGGTGCTGATCTCAGAGCTGTGCTGGAGCAGTGTCTGAACATCAGCACTCAAAAGCAGGAACGTGCTGGCTGAGGATGAGACAGAGCCCTGTGGCACTGACTCCGTGCAAACCATTCTGGGCAGTGGGCATCTGTGCTGGCCACATAGAAAGGAGAGAAAACCCCCATGCTTTCACATTTTAAGGCATAAATTCAGCTCCATCCGAAGTGGGTACAGAGGTTTTCCTCCCTTGTGTTACTTACAGCGTGAGCAGATCTGCTCCAGTCTCAGTTTAGTGTCAGGTGTGCATCATAATGTGGTGCTTCCACAGGCAGACGAGTTTTGTGATCCCAGACAACCCTTTCCCTGTCCGGTTACTGTGATCAAAGCAGCAACAGGGTGGGTCACCACTGCCAGTGCCATTGTTTTCTGTTAAAATGAAAAGCTGGTCATGCATTTCCACTTGCTGAGACTGCTTTCTCGTTGCCACAGTGTCCCTTTGGATCCCCAGCAAGCACAGAGGGTTCTGATCTGTACCCAAGCAGGACTGGGACACTTGCCTGGCTTCAAGGCATCAGATCTCCCTGCTCTGACTTGACCACCAAGTAGAAGAAAATGGAGCTACTTCCAGGCAAGCTGACCTGATGCTCAGTTTTAGCAAATTTATTCACCCTCATACCTAAGTGCACAACAGCACTCGCTCCCAAGCCTCACAGCATGCCACAAAATGCCACTCTAGGCATTTTGTATTCTTTCAATTTATTCCAAGTGCATATGTATCAACTGCTGTGTACACTTAACATTCTGGTTTTAGAAGCTACCCAGTGGTAGGAGGAATATATGTAATCCCGTTGTCTCTGCTGGTGGTCGTAGGAGTGCATTCATCAAACAAAATTACTTGTGGCCATTGGGGTTTTCTAGTGATAAAACCCAGCAGTAGAATGACAGAGTGAGCATTTTCCTTTTCTTCTTGCTTGGATGATATTTTTATACACTTTTATACGCAATTTTTTTAAATATTTGCTATTTTTATTGTAGGGTTCTGGTTGGATTTTTACCAGACCTTCTGGTTGTCTACAGGCCCAGATTCTCACAGGAATATTTCCCTTCCATTTTCTCCTTCCCCTTCTTCCCCGATAGACAAAAGCCATCGCGTTTGCAACATCAGCTTAGAGCGAAATAACACCTAGGGCCTGATCACTCTTTTAGTTGCACTGAAATCAGAGGAAGTTGCATGCAAAGTCCCTCTGGTCCCACCGCAGCATCTGGGGTCGAAGACTAAATAAGGGAAACATACACAGCTAATTATGCACAGGGCTGTCTGCGTAAAGCAAATGCATCAGGGTGGCACAGTCTTCCTTTGCTGTGGCGGTAGCAGCTTCCACCACAACGTGCTTAAATAAGACTTTCTCTCTCTTCGTTCTGATGATGCTGCTTCTTGTAGGCACTTCAGTCAAAGTCATCCCCCTGCGCACTGACTGCCTTCAGCGGGGAGGAAGGGTGGACACTGTGGCTTCTCTGTGACAGTAGAAATCACTGCTCTTGGGGTTAACCCTACAGTGACAGGTCCTAACGAAAGTTAAGGAACATTAAATTCCTTGGTAGGAAGGATAAGGGGAAATTAACCAAATTCAAGGATCTTGGTCTTGTAAAATAACCTTTTCTCAGCTACCATTCTGCAGGGAATTCTATGTATGAAGTTGAACATAAACTTTAGAGTATGTTTGTATTAGCAGAACTGATAACAGAGATGTCTTTCTTGATCTGAACTAAAACAAGAGACACCTGTTCTCTAACATTTTTCGAGGGAGAAAGAGGCAGGTTGTTATGCTATTTTGCACTGCGGGGTAGAAAACAAGTTAAAATAAATGCTGAAAGCAAAACTCAATGTGTTTGCTCTTGGGACTGGGTGGGTAGGGTAATGAAAAAAAATCATATTTGATTTGTTAAGATTCATAAGGACAAAAAAAAGTAAAACCGAAATGAATGATGCCATGTAATGCCAAGTATTCTCAACTGTTCTGAGAATAATTTTAAACAATATGTATTTATTGTTAGTTCCTTATTTGAAAGAAGAGGCTTGTGGTCTCTAACTGTATAAAACATTTTTCAACATTCCAGTTTTTCTGTAACTGAGTCCATGTATGTTCATCCTATTACCAAATAAAAACAATGAGGTCTCCACTCCATTTGAATTAAAATTGTAGAAGGGTTAATTTTGTTTTGGTGGTTTCTACATCTGATCCAGATATGGCACTTGCCATTTGCTTTCCAGCATCCAACTCCCCATAGAGTACTAGTAATAATCAACTTTTTTTTTTAAGCATAATGGGAACATTGCTTGGACAGCAGTCATGGCTCACCACTTGCCCCTGTGAGGAGGAGTTAGTGGCATTACCTAATTTCTAAAGACAGGGCAATTGAGATAGAGAAATGAATTGGCATATTTAAGAATGCCAAGGTAAATCTCTACCTGTTCGGGGATCACACGTGTCAACCTCACCTTTCCCTTTTTCTCTTTTGACTGAAATCATAGCCTATAAGAGCATCTAAACCAACAACTGCACACCACACTCATGCCCACTGAAACACTTGCTTCTGTAATTTTTTATTTTTCTGTGCCACTTGCAGCATGAGTATTGATCCCACAGGTCTGGTGTCCTGTGCTCCAGTAATGCTTACAGACCTCCTTTCACAGCATTTCAGCAAACATCTCTACATAGCACCTTCTACAATGTATCTTATTCCACAAGTAGACTCAGGCAGCATCTGTGCAGGAATCATCACACCACACAAGTAATGCCCAGAATTTTCCCATACTGCTGCTGTTTTACTATTTGATCTTTTCCTTAAAAAAGGAAAAAAAAAAAAATCATGATAAAGAGTGTCAGAGACCAAGCCATTCTCTCTAAGGAGGATGTAAAGTTCAGAGACGTCCAATACAAGCGTGAAAGGCTTTGTACATTCCTTTTTGACTGAAATTCCAGTTTTAATTCACTCCTTTCCGGGAGGTTCACTGGCATTGATTTCCTGAAGAACATGCAATGTGCTTGCCACTGTACCTGCTTGTATGCAAGACTCAAACCTTACCATCTTGGTTTGAGTCTGCATGTACCTCCAGTCCAGTGCAAGTAGAGATGAACCCCAGCTGCCAATTGCTGTAAGATGTTGAGGGTGTTGATGTAATCAACTGTGATCTTCAAATCAAAAATACTGACTGCCACAGAGGCAAGAAGGGAGAAAAGATTCTTTGGAAAAAGCACCTAATGGTTTGGGTGGCTCACCTCCGTTTGTGCACATAGTGTCAGAGTCCTTTCTCTGGTGCATATAGCCAGTGATGTAAGTGTCCGGAGCTGTTACCAACCAGTGGTTCCCAAAGTGATGCCAGCCGCTTGCTGAACTGCCGCGGAAGCAAGGTAAGTGCTGTGTAACTGCCTTCACAGCCGTGCCGGGCAATAAAACTGGCAATTGCCAATTCTGTGAGGGCACGGAGGTAGCTGAAAGGAAAGTTGTCAGAGATCTGGCAACAGGTCATAGGTCTGAAACTTAAGAATGTGAAACGCAAAATCAGTAACTTGGGTATCTCCACCCAAACCCGGTAAGTGGTAAAAAGAAAAAGGATATGTTTGATATTGAATCCTTTAAATGGAAAGGCCTCCAGAAGTGAGGCCACTTTCCCGTTAGCCTTACCTAAAACTGTGGATAAGAAATGGCAGAAGGAAGACAGCAAACAGCTCGTAAGTGGTGGAAGAACTATAAAAAGCATTTTTGTGGCTGGTGGGACTACTGTTCATTCATCTCTGCTGAAACTACTCTTTCTGTTTAAAGGTCCAGCGCAACGTTCAGCTGACTTACCAGGCTCAGGTTCCTCAGCAAACCACCTTACACTGCCAGGTCAGTAGGTACCACCTCACTCTAATTTGCTTATGTGTGCAGCTTTAGAAATAGGCATGGTGCCTACTGTTTGGGAGCTGGGCACAGACACATGACTTCCTCTCCAGGTATGGCATGATTTTACATGTCATATTAAAAAAGTTAAATCCATTCACTGGGGTTGAACAGATGAACTGTTCTTTTTAATGGTCTTTACCACACTTCAGGTTTTTTGAACAAATACCTTATGTTTTATGGCTTGCAGTGCAGGCTTCACAGACTATCTTAATTCAATTGGAAAATTAGTTTGGGCCTTTATCACACGGATATAGATGCTGAAGGGAAAAAATAGGGCTGTTTTGTGGACCCAAGCATAGCTTTTTTCTGCCCTTCCCATCTAGCAAATCCTGCTGTTTCTGTTTCACCTCAATAATCATTTTCTTAATCCCTTCATCTTTGTCCCACACAACTGTTAGAAGAAAGGGAGGGTAATATGAAGCAGTTAAACAAAATAATGGCTCAGTGTGAACAAGATACTGTCTTGTGTGCGTATGTAAGGGCATTCATAGACGTATAATTCACAGTAGGTGAAAGAAAGAGTAAGTCAGCAGGAAGACAATAAATCACCAAGCAAAAAACTTCAAGCAAAGTACTTAGAAAGTTTTACTACAGATGTTTTCATCAGTGGCTGCTGTGCCAGCAGATGAGGTATGGTGTGGCTCTGTATATAGGTGCCAATGTGCAGTAGCATGTTTCTGTGCTGTTTCAGTTCTCCAAGCTTCTCATGGTGTGATGCTCTTAGCAGATTGTTTCCCCGGGCACAGCTGCAGCCACCACTTGGGTGTAAGGAAAAGAATGAGCAGGAATGTGAGAGAGTTCAAAACACTGTATTCCCTTAGTAAAACAATATGCTCCTGGATTACTGTCCTGCTTGAGAACAAGAATGAGCAATCACTGAATGTCAAATTTAAACCTCTAAGCATCATGCTCACATGATGACTCCCAGGTATCTAACCCAATACATTTTTTAGATATAAAGCATGGAACAAGAAATATCATAAATACATTCTCCTAACATCTAAAGTTTCTCATCATTGGCAGTGACAATAAGTATTACCTGTATATATTGCCTATTTCTCACAGGGCCCCAGCAGCTGTTAAATTGTTAAATTCTTATGTTTATATTTGTAGGGGAGGCTACTATTTTCAGTGTTTTCACCTGGGCTTTTCCTGCAGGTGGCATTTAGAGGTCTTGCTCTTTGGAGACATTTTGGAGAGATCTTGCTTTTTGGAGAAAAAAGAATGTTTTAAGGAAAAATTGTGGAATGAAACATTCATGTCACACTACAGCCACAACTCTCATCTAATGTAAACAGATCTGATTTCAAAACTACCTCACTTCTTATATGTTTTGGCATGTTTGCATTGGTCCCTTGTTTATTTTTAAAAAGCAATGCTTACACAGGGTTTTTCGTCCATTTCCCCAATGCTATACCACTTTTAACCCCCTGATCCATTAATGAGTATCTGCAAACAACAAATCCCACATCCCATCTTGTTTGTGATCCTTATTCTGAGCCTGCAGAGCACCATTATAATAAGAAAGTAGAGAATATAAATGCAGAAGAGAGGGGTTTGGCATATGCTACAATGTACAATCCCTTCATTACTGCTGACTTGCTAAATAACTTTACTCAAATCCTTCTTGTGCAACCTGGTTTCCTCATCTGTTTGGGAAAGGTAACATTTGTTGCCCTTTAAAACTAATCTAGGGATCTGTTAAATGTTATGACTAGAAAAACAGCAGTAGGGAGGATCCACCTCCAAGAGAGCAGAGTGATCAAGCTAATAGTGTCTCTTTTTTCAAGAAGACCCTGTGGGTTTGTTGCCAGTCCAGCCTTACCTCCAGTAGCAATACTCACTGTGACAATTTCACCTTGATTTATAGGAAGGTGCCTTCTGTCTGACACTTATGGTAAGGACGAGCTCTGTTTTGACTCTCTTTTCATTAGACACACCCTGCCTCAGTGTATGTTTTGGCAACGACTGGTTTAGGGATGCAGTGGGTTTTCTCTATTTGGCTGTTTGTCATTGGTACCATCCTTCACATGCCCTGTCACCGTGGCTTACTCAGCAAACTGTTTACTCTGGTTCAGTTTGCAAATCAGCCCTTCCCATGCAGCTATTTACAGTATGTGATGGGGAGTAGAAAATAGTGCAATATTTTCCATGTATAGGATCCAGTGATGCATTTTGTTTACAGCCATTTTGCTGCTGTTTCTTTATGCTCTATATAGATCATGTTTGGGGAGAGGGGGTTGCTTTTGCTGGAAGCAGCCACTAATTAATGTGTAGTTAAGAAACAGTCTGCTGTAAATACACACCCCCACAATTTCCTAATTGAGAAAATGTTATTGTCTTGCTGTTTTTTCTGTGAATTGCATGTGGCATCTTGAATAAAAAGGGGAAGCTTTATTGCGTTGGCTTTAGTCTCACTTCTGAGGGAGTGAGGCTGATGAGAACAGGCACCTGTGCTCATGATGCTGTCCATCTCTCTGCCAAAAGGGTGGTCAGTCCTCCTCATTGCTAGCTCTTGAATTGGTGCCTCATCAGTTTAAAGTGCATGAGAGGCTAGAACACCCAGGAGGTCGCAAAGCTGGGGAAGTCCTGTGAGGTTAGGTGGCTGCGTGCAGGAGAGAGCCCTGGCAGCGCTCCCATCTGGGCTTGAGCACCGGTGGAACCAGAGTCCCCCATCAGCTCAGCCACATCGCACCATGCATCAGGGTCCCCAGCTGGCTGCAGCCACCTGGAACGGCTCCTTTTTCTCACTGCAAAGAGGATAAACCACCCGTTTCCCCAAAGAGCCTGCACTTTGTATGGTGAGGAAGCATGGTCTGGTCATTGGTGTACCCAGAAGTATTATTTACCGTCACTGAGTGACCACATTTTTCTTTCTGTGGCTTGGAAACATTTAGGAGTCCACTTCTGCCAGGGTCCTGGGGGGGCTCCCAGGCCTCAGTGGCTGGGACCGGCCCCCCCGGGACCCCCGCCAAGGGCCCAGGGGACGTGTCTGAGCTCAGCCCGGGGCCTTCGGTCCCTGCCTGAGCGATGGTGTCGGTGTGCCCGTCCCTGCCCCTGGCCCCTGGGTGGGCCTGGGACCTGCCCTGCAGAGAGCTGCTCTGCTGATGGGCCCCTCAGCCCCAGGGCAGCGCTGGGCACGCGTGGCTCTGGGCACAGCACAGCAGGGCTGCTCTGCTCTGCCCTGCTCCCTGCGCTCAGCATCGGGCGAGCAACGAGGAGACAGGGATTTGCGTGAAACGCCAGGGGCTGCGAACCGTCCCCT